AAAAAAAAAAAAAAAAAAAAAGAAAAGAAAAAAAAAGAAAAGAAGAAAGGCTCACAGCCTGCAGAACCATGCCTTTTAAACGTGGCTCAGAAATAGCTAGCAACATTAGTAATAATCACTGTCTTTGCTCATTCCATTCAATGTATCCTCTTACTTTAAATTTGATGCCTTTTGCTAAGAAAAGGGAGAGAATTGGTAGAACAATGACAGAAAAGGACCAAAATGTTACCTAGGTTATACTCAGAACAAATTGAATGTGACTTAGGAAAAGGCCAAGGAGGAGGGCATTTCATTAGACAATCGACCTGAAAGTCAGCCCTAACCTAAGTCACCTACTGGGCGTGTTCATTTCTATTTATAGCCAAGGAGACTGGCTATCTGATGACTGATTCTGGGAATGCAGAGGATTTATGTGGACAAAATAATAGTGCTGATGATCTGGGAAGGGTAGTCCATCCATCACGAGATGAAGCTAACCTCGTTTTCATTTGCTAGGAATGTGCAGAACTTGTTTAACTCTTCCCATATCATTAAAGGGAAAGAAAAACCCAGAAAAATTAGGATTAACAGGGCCCATGGGCCTCTGTATGCCCTTGAATTCTTACAGAACCTGTACGTATTTGGTGAGGGACTGTTTCAAGCGATGTCTGAATCAAAGGGTTGCTTTTACTTGATATGATACTTCAGACAGCTTTGATCTTGAATCGAAGTTTGGGATACATTAGGATGGGTTTGAAACCCATCCAACAGAGAATGATGGAGCCCTGCGTATCAACTATGCAAGCATCAAACATACTGGGATCTGACTTAGTCAATAATTCTGTGGTTATTTTAGACCAGGCTCCTATAATTACATCTTCATTATGCTTGGTGGACGGGGCTATTTCCAACACAGGAAGCAGTAGCCTTGCCTTTGCTGTTCCTCTAGGTAAGCAGCTGAAGCCAGACGGGCTGAAAGCCCAAGTTCAACATGTTATGAAGTCGTTCTACAAGTTATTTCAGAGAAATTGACTTACCATACCACTCGTCGACCCATGCGAAAGCCTGTCTATGTCCAATCAGCAGGATGTCTCGGACCACCTAGAAAGTAAAAGGAGGAGACGCAAATAATACCACGTGGAAAATAGGTCGGTCGCAATTCTGAGAATCCTCAGTCCCTCTGCCCATAGGTGATGATACCTGGAGGCTGACATGCACCGATGTTGTGTTTGCCCCCCAGCCCAGCCATTTCCGTGGTGTGCACAGACTTCTCATGTTAATCTCTTTGGCTTGAGAGAAGGGCTCGTGTGCTACAAACTAATGACAACTACTTGGTAGTCACACAGCAGTGACACGAATGAATGGCTCCGTGTACGGCCTTGAAGTTTTTCTCTTTGATTCACCTTGAACTAAAACAACACCTACTTTTCCCTTGTGGGAGGGTCTGAGTCCCACGGGTGCCAGGACATCCTAAGCATTGGAAATCTAGAACACTTTGCTGGCCAGCAAGTCACTTCCAAGCAAAGAGCACTTAACACTCCCTCTTCTCTGATGAAGTATCCTACATATGGATTCCATTAAAAAAAATACATGAAGGTTTGGGATTCGAGATAGGTAAATATCCTTTTAGGCTTGACTTTCACGTACTAGTAGGAAAAAAAAGAAACAGTAGTTTGATCAATGATTATCCAAAGAGATGAGAAAAGATACCTGAAGTAGAACAAAACATAATGGGAATGATAGGCTTGACTCGAGGAAAAAAAGCAATGAAATTGTTTCTTATGGTGATAAAAGGCTAAGGAAAATGACATACACTGTGCGTGTGTTATATCCTTCTGTGCTTCTATTTCATACTATCCTTTTTGTTCTGTATAAATATGCCTTTTTTTTTTTTTTGAGACAGAGCCTCAAGCTGTTGCCCTGGGTAGAATGCCATAGCGTCACAGCTCACAGCAACCTCCAGCTCTTGGGCTTAAGAGATTCTCTTGCCTCAGCCTCCCAAGTAGCTGGGACTACAGGCGCCCGCCACACTGCCTGGCTATTTTTTTGTTGTTGCAGCTGTCATGGTTGTTTTAGCTGGCCCGGGCTGGGATTGAACCTGCCACCGTCAGTGCATGTGGCCGGCCAGCTACGGGCTCCGCCCTGAATATGCCTTTTTATATATCTTAGATACTCACAATCTCCCCCCTCCACCCAACATTCCTTTCTTCCTGCCAAACACATCCAGCGATTGTCAAAAACCTCTCATGGAAGGTTCAAGCATGTTTTAAGAAATGAAGGATTTTAATTTAGTGACTTTTCAGAAACATGGAAAGCATTACATAATGAAGTGTTTATTACTCCGGGCCTCGGGATATTGAGCCAGGCTTTCATGCCTTGCAAGTAGGAAACATATAATGAATATAGGAAACAAACACGCAGGCATACACACTTGAGTGCTGAGTGTGTCAAATTCATGGAAATCAAAAGAACAGCATCCAGGCACCAGTAAATATACCCCATTACATGAAGCACAACACAGCTGTCGGCTGGAAACAAGAACTCAATAATGTGCTAATGGCTCGCTTTCGAATATTTTTTCCCCTTAACTGTGAATAGATTCTTAAAAAAAAAAGACAACAAAATCCCCAAAAGACAAAGGTATTCAGAGAAAGGCATCCTTGGCACCTTGAACTCATGCAAAGGCTGGCCTCAGATATTCATTAGCGACTCAGCTGCCAGAGCAGGTGTGTTTTGGGGTGTTGATAACACTTTATTCTATTTGGAAGTGGGCATTGAGAATGCTTGTGACCAAAGCATAAAGCTTACCAGGTGTTCTCAACACTAGCTAAAGTCATCTGTGAGAAAAAAAAGCACAGCAATCCCCAGGGCAATGGTTAAATATGCTTTATAATAGGTAACAAAACTCACTATGATACTGGCCTCGGGAGTATGATACGAGAAGAGATCATTTTGCATTAAAAAGCTGCAAAAAAGTAAACAATCAAAAGGGATTTTGTGGGAAGTCAAAGATAGAGCCTTAGACACAAAACTGAGGCTGGAAAGTGTTTACTCTGGGAGCTGCGAGTGTCTTCCTGTTTAATGACCAGGACACACAAGAAAAACAGGAGGTCTCTGAACGGGATTTCTATGTATTTTACTCCATTCCCACTCCTGGGTGGCAGAATGGGTTCTGGAGCTCAGCAGAGGACTGACGTACATCTCTGTTCAAGAAAACACCAAGTGGCTTGGTGCCTGTAGCTCAGTGGCTAGGGTGCCAGCCATATACTGGGGCTGGCAGGTTCAAACCCAGCCCAGGCCTGCCAAACAATAATGACAACTATAACCAAAACTGCTGGGCGTTGTGGTGGGTACCTGTAGTCCCAGCTACTTGGGAGGCTGAGGCAAGAAAATTGCTTAAGGCCAGGAGTTTGAGGTTGCTGTGAGCTGTGACATCACAGCACTCTACCAAGGGAGATATAGCTTGTAATCCTAGCAGTCTGGGAGGCTGAGGCAAATGGATTCCCTGAGCTCACAGGTTTGAGACTAGCCTGAGCCGGAGCGAGACCCCGTCTCTAAAAAATAGCCCAGCATCATGGCGGGCACCTGTAGTCCCAGCTACTCAGGAGACTGAGGCAAGAGGATTACTTGAGCCCAAGAGTTGGAGGTTGCTGTGAACTATGACGTCATAGTACTCTATCGAGGGTGACAAAATACGACTGTCTCAAACAAACAAACAAAAACCCCCCACCAAGGCTCTCAAATTTGTTCCAGAGTCTGCTGTTACCATGAGCCTAAGTTACAAGGGTTCAAGAGACTGGTGATCTATTCCTCAGGATTAAATTTAAAAGTTAAACTTTTTATTGTCACTTGGCCCCCAATCTCAGTAGACCAATCCATCTAAGTAATAAAAAGCTCCATGCATTAAGGTTAAATTCCAGTTACATTCCAAAAGAATTTCGGAAAGCTATTCTTTATCAGTTTTTAAGTGGAAAAATAAACAGCCAGCCTATCTGGAATGTAGAGACAATCTGAGTAGTATTTATTTTTATGAAAGTGGGAGCAGCTACAAAGGGCAACGGACAACATTACATTTCCCATTTCTCCCCCATGAGGATAAAAGAGTCATGTTAGAAACCCGTAGGAGACGTAAATCATCACCAAGTGGGTTTCCGCTATGAAACAGCTCCATGCCAAAGCGAGGAGTATGTTTCCAAAGCCTCCCTTCCCCAGTATGCTCACACAGCAGACATGGAGGTCACATAATGAGAGAGGAAAGGGAAAACGTCTATGAGTGGAAGAAAATTAAACCCGCACCTAAAATGCATTTTCATCCAAAAAGTGTTTTTTGGATGCAGTTACCTGCTGTTGGCTCAGCCCTGGAGCATTTGTTCCATATCATGCACTCCAACTAGACGATAAAGCGAGTTACCTCGTCCAAAGCCCGGGGATTGCTGTTGATTGCTTACCTTGTGTACAAATTGCTCCACTCTGGTCTGAAGCCCCCAGACCTCAAACTTCACAGTCACCAGCTTGTAGGAGCACATAATGGGCTGGTGACTGTCTCTCCAGCCTTCTCTCAACTGTCCCCGTCCTGTCTTCTCTGACTTGAAGTGTTTAGGGTCCTAGGAAAGATATATTAAAGAAATTCATATATTAAAAATAACTTCTGCTGGGCTTGGTGGCTCACGCCTGAAATCCTCACATTCTGGGAGGCTGAGGGGAGTGGATCACGTGAGCTCAGGAGTTTGAGACCAGCCTGAGCAAAAACGAGACCCTGCCTCTACTAAAAATAGAAAAACTAACTGGGCGGGTGTTGTGGCAGGTGCCTGTAGTCCTAGCAACTTGGGAGACTGAGGCAAGAGGATGTCTTGAGCCCAAGAGTTTGAGGTAGCTATGAGCTATGACACCACAGCACTCTATCCAGGGCTATAGAGTGAGACTCTGTCTAAAAAAAAGAGATATTAGGCTCGGAACCTGTAGCTCAGTGGCTAAGGTGCCAGCCACATACACCGGAACTGGTGGGTTCGAACCCAGACCAGGCCTGCCGAATGACAATGACAACTACAAACAAAAATAGCCTGTAGTGGCTCGGCGCCTATAGCTCAACCGGCTAAGGCGCCAGCCACGTACACCTAAGGTGGCAGGTTCGAATCCCCAGCCCGGACCTGCCA